GGGGCAGGGAGGGGACAGGAGGGTGTATTGGTGCAATGGAAATCCTCTTTCTAATTTCCATCCTAAATTTCTTCAGATCATACCTTTTGCTTTATTTATTATGTTGTCCTTCCTTGCAAGTAGGAAGGAAGGCCAATTAAAAAAAAAATAATGAAAAAAAGCTGTCTAGTAAAAAAAAGGTCTAGTAAAAAATACCACTAAAAAAGTTTTCCTGGTGTTATACCATTTTTCACTACTTCCATCTCCTTTGTTACAGTTTCCTTCAGAGTTTGTGCTTAGTAAAAGTGGTCTTTGGCTTCTGCTTTGACATTAGATTGTCAATTTCCACATCCAAATTCTTATTACCCAAACTGCCCCTTCTGAAAGAAACCTGAAATAAAGCAGCAAGCACCTACTGTAATCTTTTAAATTCAGACACTTCTAGAATATATAACATGGGTGCATACACGTACGCTGTCTGTATGGAAGTTTGTGTCCATACATATATATAATAATATTATCTGTGCCATAATGACTTCTCTGTGTTAGGCTTGGGGCTTTTTTCTGAAGACTCTGTAACAGTTAAAAGAATAACTAATGACCTCTGTTAATATAACATGAGATATTATTTTTGGCAAAAGGAGGTGTACGCTTGAGAGAGTAGGCTCCAGCTGTCAGGAGGCTTTGCTTTTATATTGCCAAACACACAGAGCACAAAGAGAAGGATCTGTCCTCCCAGATACCTTTTCACTTCCCTATGGGGAAAAGAGAAAAGTTTCAAATCACCAATTTAGCAGCCGGCTTGGTCTTTTTTTAACTTGACTTTTAAGGGGCCAGGAAACAAAGGAATTCAAACTTATTCAGTTGGAAAAGCTGATTAATACTTTCACTGATTTAGAAGTAAGGAATAATCCTCTCAAAAGAAATGGAGTGAATTTGGAGATTTTTTACCCCCCAAAAAAGAACCAGGGGAGATCTGAATTCTCAACAGCTACAGTAATCCCTGACTATTAACAATGGGTGAAACTGAATTTGCTTGAATGTAAATTAGCTTAATGTGTTGCCATAAATAGGTATAAATTTGAATAAGCAAATGTGATATAATTACCACACTCATTTTTCTTACTTAGTGGAGGAAAGAAAGTCTTTTGTGTCAGTGGAGACGATCTCTGTGGGACAGACATTACCAAACACCATTATTCTACTGAAAACTGAGGCGTAAGTGCTTATTTATTTGAGGGTAATTCCCAGGTCATTTTTAATCTCCAACATATCCCCATTGTATACTGACCCCACTTTTGCTTTCCTTGCTCTTTTCCTCTTTATATAGCTGAAGAAGCTTTTACTTGTTAAAACATCCTTTGCAAGATCTAACACCTCCCTGATGGAATTTTCTTTGCTGATCCCTCTTTTTACAGTCCTTGTAGACTCCCTATTTATTCTTACTGTCTCTTTGAAGGAGTTGTTTGTCTAGTTAGGTCTAGAATTCTTTCCTCAGTGCTTTTCTGCCCTACTTAGAGTAAAATTGACAGATCTTTGTTGGATGATACCAATAATTTCCATTATTCTTTCAAAGTTTGTCCAAATAAAAAGACATTAGTTTTCTACCACTTTGAATGTTTAGGTTGTGGGTTGGTTTTGTTTGGTTTTGTTTTGTTTTAAAATTTAGGTTAAACAACACATAACCAAGTTCAGTTTTCCATAGCATCTTCCTTATTTTTTCAGAAATCATGTTTATATCACTGCCCCTTGTTAGTAACAGAGAGATAATCTGATGAAAAAATGTTTGGTTCTTATTTCCAGTAGTTCTAAACTGGAAGTATTCATTCTCAAATCCCTCTAAGGAAATGTAGTTTCGATGGAAGAGAGAATACTCAGTGTGTTTATTTCAAGTAGTTTTAGTCATATCCAGGACTATCTAAAGATAGACTTTAGCTTTAGACTTCAGTCATAGCTAAAAGTCTATAAAAGGCTAGTGAATCTCAATTGTTCATGAAATTATATTCCTTGCATATATTTTGTTATTGTAACACTCTTCAGGTATTTATATTAACGGAACTATGGGATAATATAAAGAAAGGAAAGATGACAGAACCTTGCAGTTACTAATGTCTTAGGATACTTCTATAAATAAATGATCCCAAACCTTTGATCGATATATGTAAGTACAAGGTGGTCTGTGCTATGTGTCAAAGTGACATAATAGTTAATATCCCTGATAATAAACTAGTGTGTTTCTCTACTTGTCTATAAAGCACTACCATGGAGTATTCAGTTTTTATAATGTAATCACATAATTTCATTTCTTTGCAAGAAAACTGAGTAATGTCACTTTCAGCTGTCAAACAGCGCAATTGGAAAGCAAATGAAAATTTTATATTGTGTAAAGAATAAAACCTAAATATTTAGTTTATCTTAGAAGTCTTTATTTGAAAAAGGCCAGTGAGCATGGAATTTTTGCAGCACAGTATACTAACCACAAATCCTTTTTGCTGAGAAGGGAAAGTTCAGATACCCCAAACTGACTATTTGGTACAACGTTTGTCTCTAGATTCTCTTTATAGCATGAACACATTCGTCTGCCTCTTTAAGAAATTGCGATTCTTAATTTTCTTGAAGAACATTGATTCAGAGACTTAACAAGACCAATGGCCCAGGTGAATAGCAACAACAGGATCTATCCAAGAGAAGTTTACTCTGCCTCTCATAGGTATGCAAATAAATAAAATTATTAGATCATTATGCAGCAAATGTATACTAATAGCATAATTTCTCATAAATACACATTTCTAACTCATAAACAGACGTATTCTACATCTGAGATTCAATGTCTCTTGAGTCTTGTTTCATACATTTTGCCATGCAACATGACAAGTACTCATTTTGGTACAGTGAATGGCTTTTCCTAAAAATACTTGCAGTTCTGTTTATAAGCTTTTTCTTAAGAACAAGATAACTTTTGTTCTTTTCAATTTCCTCAGCTTAAAAAAGATTTTTTCACTTTCAAATTTGGACTATATATTTGCAATAGCAATACCTTAGGGGTGCCAAAATTTACAAATATTTTTGCTTTTACCTACATTTTCCACCTAAATGGTCACTTGCTTACACAGATCAGGTAAATAGTCAAGTACTGTCTGTCTACTTCATCTTTGGTAACATAGTTCCTTTTGTCGAGGCACCATCTGTCTTTGTCTTTATAACTTGGCCATGAATGTTCAACAGCTACTGGGTGGTTTCCTTAGGAATTTTTACCTTAGAATAATTGTCTCTAGAAAAAAAAAAAGTGTCAGATATAATTGTCTCTCTGTATTTTTTAAATTATATAGTATTTACAGCTGTGTCTTTCTAACGTTAGTAGTCACAAAGTTAATTAAATCTTCGGAGCTAAAAAATGCTCTCATTTCTGGTACTTGTTTTACATAAAACATTTGATCACTATTGTTTTTCTAATTATTATTAATTCAGTATTTTGTTTTCTAAATGTAAAGCATTTTTAAAATCTTATAAATCAGTGTTAGATGGTGATAGAATCACCTTTCATCTCAGTCATATTATACTGGGGAAAAAGGTGCTACTGGGCACAGCTTTGTGTGTCTAAGTCTGGCCTGCAGAAGTCCGCAGATTTCTCTATCACACAATGGCCAAAACAATTTGAGAAAATATTCCTCTGAAGCCAAATGGTCAGGAAATATTGCTGCAGAAGAGTATGAACTGGAGCCAATACAGAGTTGTTAGTCCTCAGAGAAGACTTTGAATAACAAATAGATACGTAACTCTGACACTCACACAAACAAAACGGTTACTTACTTTGAACTTATATTGTTGAAACCTCTACTTTCAAAAGCTGAGCTACATAATGCACTCAGTGAAAAAAATAAATTAATAAATGAACAGATGAATTAATAATAATGAGTAATAAATAAATGAATAATGAATGAGTCTTTGGATGGTTGGGTTGGCTGCCTATGGAGTTGCCACCCTTGGTTAATGCATCCAGACCATTTAATATTTCCAAACAGAAGACTGAGAAACTGAAATGAAAGAGAAATGGGGCCAAAGCCCAAGTCATGCCGGCAGCAGCATGCTCACAAATCGGTTTTGTCTCCTCAGAAAGTCACCATTTTTGTGTGTTACTCTTACACACTCTGAATAGTCATGTTCATATACAAATGTGTCAGGTTTGGGAGAGTTTTTCATTTTCTGGTATGTGTCACTACTTCAAGAAGAGAAAAATGCATGTGACTTTTTTGTTGACCAAATATTATCCTCTTAGAAGCAATTACTTTGTTACTGTGTTTTAAAAGGTGTGCATGTGTTTCCTATGAAACATTTGGCCTGGAAGTCTGTTTTTCATTGTTGCACAAATCAGATCTTTGTTTTCCACTCTTATCCAAAAAAATTTTTTTGTTTGTCTTTCAGGCTGGCCTTACATTCTGCTTCAGTGACATGTACACATTAGGGGCTGAGCTCTGTGGGCTAAAAATGCCCTCTCTTACCAAAACTGGGAGAAACTTATTTTTAGGAATGTATCCATACAAATTAGCATGTATATTTTTAAGATAGTGTATACATATGACATTGGACTATGGATACGCTTTGACTTCTCCTATGTTAATGGCAGGCTAATTTTGTTCAAGTGTTTTCCCACAGACCTTGTTTTTCAACCTGAAGGAGAGAAACATGCATTAAGTTTCACGTTGCAATATAAGCATTTCAGAGAATATTATTTGACTGTTAGATTTCAAGTTTTGCTGTGTGTTCCAGAGAAGGGGAGAATCTATGGTGGGTTCACCTTGGCCAGTTGCCAGATGCCTGCTCAGCTACTGTTTCTCTCCCCTTCCTCAACAGGACAGGGGGAGAAAATAAGATGAAAAAGCTTGTGGGTCAAGGTTTAAGACAGGGAGATCAGTTACTGTCAGGGAATTACAGGGATTTTATACAGATTTAGACAGATTTAAGACAGGCAGAACAGTTACCAGTTACTGTCATGGGTAAAATATATTAAATGCAGGGAAAATTGAATTAATTACCAATTAAAACAGAGTTGGATGGTGAGAAACAGACAAGAATAGACAAGAACTAGAGGCTGGATCCCAGTTCTTCCTAGGCTCAACTTTACTCATCCCAGACTCCTCTACCTCCTCTGCCCACAAGCAACACAGAGGAATGGGAAACAGGGGGCTTCGGTCAGTCTAACAGCTTCTCCCTGCTACTCTTTCCCCATCATACTTTTCCCCTGCTCCAGTCTGGGGCCTTCCCATGGGCAGCAGTCCTTCAGGACAGACCTGTTCCCAGGGGCAGCAATCCTTCAGGATAAACCTCTTCCAGTGTGGGCTCTCCATGGGCTGCAGTTCCTTCAGGGAATATCCCCCTCCTGTGGAGCAGGCTGTGAAAATGAATTAAAAAAAAAAAAAGGGAGACAACTGAGAGGAAACAAAAGAAAGTGAGAGGCTAAGGTATCAGAATCAAAAGAAAGTGTTTTCATTTAAAATGAGCAGGGAACATTAAGTGATGGACTTGCTTGCCTCTCTGTTAATTTTATGTTTAAAAATCACTTACATATCCTCCCAAGTTATTTCTCTAATAGTTCATTACAAATTAGTAAATGTAATTTTCAGAGGTTTTTCCCCTGGAATCTTCTATTGCCTGGCTATATGGCAATTTTTCTCATATTTCTTCTCCCTTGCATAATGTACTGTATATTGAACCCTTATTTCAGTATCCATATAATTATAATGGTTTTGAAATAATTCTTTAACCATTTCTCAGTAGCATAGAATAACTAGAAGACAATGCTGGATACAGTAACCAAACATATATGAAAGGCAAAAGTGGAGTCTTCAGATTCAGTTATTACCTTTGAATATAATCATGATCTTGCAGTTTTATGGAGATAATACAAAATATTTTGTAACTTCCTCATAGCTCTGTTCATTTTTTCAGTCTATATAGAATTATCAGAGTACTTTGAAAATATCACCAGCCATTAAGTTCTTACAAGCAGAGAGGTGAACTGGGATATACATTGTATATATTTATGCTCTGTGAGAATAATACCTAAAAAGAATGCATATTATTCAATTTACCTCAAAACTTCTGTTTTTTAAAATTACATAAGTCTAGGAAAGGATCCAGTTGTCAAAAGCACCTCTATTCAACAGTGCACGTGTTAAAAAAATATGCTTGCAGCCTGTGTTAGACTTCATAAACCTGAGCTACTGGGGGAAATGAGGGAAACTTCTTTGCTACTTCCCTTTGCTCAATAGGTTTTTTTGAGTAGTCAGATGCACTTTTTGAATGTCCATTGCATTGAAGGTGAAAGGAAAAATTAGCACGTGCACATTAAAGGAATTCAGGCATGTATTTGCTGGGAGCTTAACTGTCCAGCCCTATCAAAACCAAGCTGCTCATGAGCAAGCAGTAAGCAGCAGCAAGCAAGCACTGACAAGGTTGGACTTCAACTGCAGAGGAGCTTTGAGAACTGAACTTTTAAAAATTTTCTATGCCAAAATCCCTTCTAATTCTCTTCTAAGTATCTATGTTTCTGTAAGAGACAAGGAAGAAAGCCAAAGCACCATTCCAGGAGGTTCACTCCTCCCAGCACCACTTCAACATCTTCCCCATTTAATGATAAATTCATTCATAGTCTTTGAAACAGAGACCAAAATCTCAATTTGTTTCTTTCTCTTTATTAAAATCTTGTTCCTGAACAGTGGGCTATGAAGCATTAAACCATTTTGTGTAAGGAGAACTTATCTTACCTGGCAATTGCTGCCACCTGGGAGCCATTATGCGAAAATGTGGGGCAGTAAAAATGTTTCTTTGAGCTGAATTCAGACATCAAAGGACATACTAAATGGAGTGAGCCATGGGACTCAAAGTGGAGTTTGGTTATTTACCTTCTCATCACTTGGACACTTACCAGCTCATTTCTGGGATTAGTCTATTTTTAAATAACTGGAGAACACTGCATTCAAAAGCAGAAATAATGACTCAGACTACAACTACAGCTACAACTTTAAGTGCCACTGCAGCTACAAAGCACAGTTGAGAACTCTGGAGCAGGCAGCTCTGAACAGTCTGAGTAAGTTTTGAGCCTGTCTATTAGGGTAAGCAATCCACAATACACAGGAAACCGCCTTGGCCTGACATGATCTCATACAAGTAGGTAAGTAAAAAGATAGACATAAGATCCCGCAGTCAATGCTGGAATACCCAACACATACATAAACCTTGTTCCTGCCAGAAAGGATTTGTCATGCATATTCTTTTGAGGGAACAGGCTATTTTCTTCTCATAGAAAGCTGTGAAACGTTTGCTTATAAGAAGAAAAACAATATATGAAAACAGTCAAAAATAAGATCTGTGCTTTCATTGTGTTTGTAGAATCAATCATAGAACAGCCCAGGTTGGAAGGGACCTTGAAAGATCATTTGGTCCAAACTTTTGTGGGAAAGGGAGCCTACATGAGGTTATCTAGCACCTTGTCCAATTTTATCTTGAAAACCTCCAGCGATGGGGACTCTGCCATGTCTTCCCCATGTCATGGGAAAGGAGTTCCAGTGAATGATTGTTCTTACTGTAAAAAACGTCTTTCTTATGTCCAGATGAAACCTCTGTCTGTGTAACACTTACCCATTTCCCCTTGTCTTCTTCATGTGGTTCCTTATGAAGATCAAGCCTTTTTCCTCTTTGTAGTCACCCTTTAAGTGGAATACTGTGATGACGTCCCCACTGAGTCTTCTCTTTTTCAGGGAGAAAAGACTCCTTCAGTCTTTCCTTGTAAAGTAGGTTCCCCAGTCATTTGATCTTCTTCACAAAGCTCCTTTGGATCCTCTCCAGCCTGTCTACATCTTTTTTGAATTGTGGGGACTAGAACCGGACATGGTACTCCAGGTGCAGCCTAACAAGCACTGTGTTAAATTAGTTGAAATAGTAGACATCATTATAAACTTTTTTCTAGCTCTTCAAGTCCCTGTGTTGATGCAAACCTGACGTAGAACCATCTTTGTTTGCTCTGATGAGGTATTTGTTGCTTTTGTGTTCTATGACTGAAATAATTAGACTTTGGATCCCACTGGGATTATCACATTTTACCTCTGTAGTTTGAAGGTGCAATAGTGGGAAATTACTAGATGATAAGAAAAGATAAGACTTAAAAGAACTTTTATATTAACTTTGATGCTGCACTAGAAATTAAGAAATGTTTCCTGATGCAGAACTGCATGTCTTGGATTCCTTCATACACTGTGTGTTTACTGTAAGAAGCTCAATCACCCAAGCATTTCACTGGCTTTTCTAATTCTGCCTAGGATTTTTCACAGTTAGGAGATCGCCATTTAAAATACACAAGAACAACCATATTCTCCTGTGCATAATCCAGTTAGTCTAAAGTGGTCTCTAGAAATCACCAGCAGCTTTTGAATTGGTCTAGAATGGAGAAGACATGGAAAATTTTTGTCCTCTACTAAAACTGAATTCACCTCACTCTGTTTCACAGTTGGCTAATATCACATGCTCTAGTGAATAACTCTATGTTTTTCTATTTGCACAAAGATGTGCATACATACACACACACAAGTTAATTTATGATAATCTTTCTTTTTCAGACATCTACCATAATGATCCTGGATCTCCAATAGCTTTTGAAGTTCATTTCAGCTCAGGTAAGTGTTCAGTCTGAACGTTCTATGCTTTTGGAGTCCGCAAAAAGCAGTTGCAGCCTTCTCAAGATGCCTTGTAAGATGTTCAGTACTTCCTGCTATAGGGCCTGCTTTCCTCCTGAGAACTGTACATGAAAAAGAACTGACCCTCTGCACACAATTCTTTCTTCTGCAAGGTAGGAAACAATAGCATCAGCATTGGGGACGCAGTGCTTTTGAATGGAAAGATACTTGTGCAGAAAAACAATCCAACAATAGTAGAGATCAGGGCAATGTCTGTAACTTTCACTACTCCCTGCACCATCAAATCTCATTGTCACTATACAGAACTCTTAATATTTTTGAAAGCTGTATGCTTGCTGCCAGAGACCTCCTTTCACACATTTCTAAGAGCAGGAGAGTGGTTTTGAGGGTATATTGTTATGAAAGTCTTTGTACTATTCTGTTGAATCTCCAATTGATCTACACACTGCAAAGTTATCCTGGGTGATGAGTGAAGTGTTGGGGAGTTAGCCCAGATTCATCTCTCTTGACTTAGGCAGATAGCCTGGGACCAGAACTTTATCTTCATCGCTCCTACCTTGAGAGACTTAACTGATATGCTTGAATGAGGGGCTTGGCCCTCCTAGACTCCCTCTGTAGTCAAAAGGGAGTCTAACTTAAATTTTCTGAATCTTTCACTGTTACTGAGTTGAAAAAGAGGGAGATTAGGATATCTAAGTTTTATTTTTTGTGCTCCAGGTAAATGTTTTAAGTAAGATGGATTAAATCAAAAGTTTGGAGCACAGCAGTCATGGAGGTGATCCTCACTGTCTAGGGTACAATGTCAGCTAACAGCATCTGTTTTGTAGAATACAATGCTTTTGTAGGCTTTCTTCAGGCTTCTCATGCTCTTAAAACTTCTTTCTTAAAGCAACCTCAGCTCCCAATCCTGAGTCCTTGGTTTGGCCAAGTCTGTATGAGAAGTCATACCTCTGTCACCATGTCCTTGCCAGCGTTGCACCCGTGATAGGCCCTCTGGGAGTCTTCTCATATGCTGTGGGAAAACCTGATGGTACTTCTGGACATTGTGGGTAGAGGGGATGTATTCTGGAGGACTGTCAGTACACAAGTAATTTTCTTGAGTCTTCACTTCTGGGCATTTTTCCAGATTTGAGCTGAAAGCTCTGCTACAACTAGGACACTACACTTTTTCCTTAATATAAAGGGTGGGTGGTGCAAAAGGCAAGTAGCTAAATGTGTTGTGAAACATAACTGTAGCCAGCTGCCAGCACGGAGGCAGAAGTTCATCATGCAGCTGTCTCTTCATTTGGGCATTCCCCATCCTTCTGATTTTAAAACACTGAGAACTGTCTAACTTACACAGGTAACCTTTCTTTGTGTTAAGTATACATTTTATTTTTCTTTTTGTCTTAAAATGGTTTATATAAGTTTCTAGACATGAATTGAATTTGAGTCAATAGTGTTATGTTTACTTAGGGATCAGAGAAATCATAGTAAATAGGGTCCCAAGAGGTCATCTAACCCATCTAGTTGCCCAAAGACAAGATCAGCTATGACTAAACTATTTTTGACAGATTTTTGTCTCATCAGTTCTTGAAAACTTCCAGTGGCAGAAGTTTGCACATTCTCCCTTGGCAGTGTACGTTAGTGCTCTGCTATGCCTATAGTAAGAAAGATTTCTCCCAATTGCCAACTCAAATCTTTCCTGCTGTCATTTAAGCCCATTGCTTCCTGTCCTATCTGCAAGGAATAAGTAAAACAGTTTATTCAAATCAGCTATTTTGTGGTATTGAAAATTATAGATTTTCTTTGAAAACTCTCCAGATTTATAAAGAGCATACCTGTTAATCTATCGAGTTATGACACCTTTTGCCTCTCCCTCACACATGTTACCAGCTACCTTTTTTCAGAAGTCCTAACCAGTCTAGTCTGATATAATTTCTCCTTGACAAATCTGTGCTGGCTATTACTTCCCATTTTATTATCCTTTAGTGTCTTTAAAATGGATTTTTTTAATGGTGGTAGGGTTTTTTTTTTTAATATAATTGTTTCTATACATATATCTACCTATATCTATATCTTCAGAACTCTGAAAGTCTGATCTATAATTTCCTAGTTCATGCTTTCTTCTTCTTCTCCCTTTACAGACTAATACTCTGCCTTTGTGGAGTCTCCTGAAAATGTACCTGTTCTCCACAAGTTCTCATAGATAATCCTGATACTGTTTGAGAATGTTTCAGACACTCCTTAGGTATACTAGACTAAATTATTCTTCATTCAATTTAGCTTCAGCAAAACTTTTACAAGGAGTCTCTAAGCAATTCTTCTATATTGAATTGAATTCTTACCCCACTGTGAATGAGGCTATGTGAGATTGTGGCAGATCACAATTAGGGCTTTTTTAGTGAAATTTATAGTTGAAACCCCTCATAAATCAGATCTGCCATCATCCTCACTTCCATCAGTCAATGATGTTATCTACCCCTGAAAGTCAAATAATCTCTTCCTTCTAATGAAATATTGACTGTCTTACCCAAAATGTGTGTTTTCTTCATTGTGCATAACAATCTCTGTGCTGATTGTTAAGACATATGCTTTTAATAAGCTTATACCAAAAATTCAAGCTGCCTCTCATGCCTTGGTGACTGCCAAATGTTCCAAATATCACCAGCCAAAGCCTCCAGCTTTCTTCTGACAGCTTGTATAATACATGAAATACTAACTATGGAAAGCACCACGTGACATCAAAAGTTAATTAGCAATACAGAAATGAACTGAATTGAAATTCAAGTAAAAGAAGAGGTACTTCAACACTCTGTGTTCATTTTTACATTTGTATGAGTAGCCACCTGTATTTTCTGATGTGCCTGAAGCTGTTGAAGGCTCTCTGTTCTGTTGCAGTGGGGTATCATGCAATGTAATCAGCTGGCATTTTAATCAACTCACATAGTAAATGAGGGATAATGCCTAAGAGCCTGCCAGACCATGGGAATCCATCTGACTAGAGGACCTGAGTTGTCTTCCTTTTCTGAGATGAATAATGAACTCAACCCTCTGCTGACAGAAAAACTGGCAAATGAAACAGCAAACTCTCTGCAAGAATGGGGGAAACATGCCCTTTCTTTGCACCAAAACATCAGGTTTACCTTTTCTAACAGTACCTTTTCATGCTTTCTCTAAGTGCTGTCTGGACCCTATTGGACCCAGAGTTGGAGAAAACATGCATGGTGTTATCAAAGACCATTTTGTAATACTAGTTTTACCTTTGTACTTAAGTTTCTTCCTGATCTCACCAGAAAGTTACATGAAATTAATCCAGTTATTTATTTTTTCTAGTTCTCAAAAGGAGTTTAGGTCATGTTTGCTTTGAAAGAAGAGAAAAAGTTCACTCATTCTGGGTTTATCCATACTACTTCATTTGCCCTTAGCCTCTAATAAAGGAGAAGTTATTGTTACCTCAAAAGAATTAATTAATTCTTTCTTAGAAAATTTAAACAGGTTTGTAGAGCCTAATGGAATTTTCACACAAAAATTCAGAGGGATGAGGTCCCATTTAGGAGGGGAGTGTCATCAGAGAAATGTTCTCAGATATTAATTTTATGGCATATTGAGAAAACACTTGTTGAAATCTGACAGTGTTTATGAAAAGCAGAATTTCTTTTCCCGCTGGATAAGTTGTATCTTAAATATTTAACTTCTGTCTACTTTGTGTTAATTCAGGGTAAACACAGTGTGTGGTACAAGTCTGGATTTTATTTTATTACTTTTTTTCTGTGTTCAAAAAACCTGAAGAATTCACTAAAGATTTATTGTCTGGGAGGAAAGATCTGCTTTTCATCATCTGGTTACTCAGGTCCCATAAAAAAGGTTCAATGCTTGACAGAACCTCAACTCCTAATCTTTGTTGGCAAGGTAGCATCCAAATCACATGAAACCACGGCTCTTTGGTGTTCTGCAATGAAAACTTAAGTGGTCTATATTAATTATAAATAAACTGGCATGCCAGGACTTCAATGATACTGAAAATTTGCTGCAGCAGGAAAGATTTCAGAGATAGAGGGGCATTCAAAATTCACTGCCAGGGTTCAGTGCTCCAGAATTGATGGGAGTGAGTCTGTAGACATACTGTCTCACTATATAGAGGAGATAAGATTTGTGAGATTATTTTTCCAAACCAAATTAAACACAGTGAATTTGAAATTTGCTGACAAGAGCTGAAGGTTGATGATCTCCATTTTTTTGGGGGCACTTTAAAAAGCTGGCCATGAAAAGGTTTAAATAGCAGTTTATTCAGTCCTATTTGTCCCCAGCCAGTCAATCAAATTTCAGTTGGTGGCCAAGCAGTGAAGCAGCAATTAGATATTGTGAAGTATCAGCAAAATCAAGATGGAATTGGTAGTATTATAAGGACATGGAATAAAAAGGAACTTAGATTTGGGGAATAAAGCAGATAGGAGAGGAAGTAGACATGGACCTAGACACTACAGAATAGGAAAGTGATAGGAAGGCAAAGTACCAGTCATAAAAAGAAAAGGAGGCCTGAAAGAGTGAGAAACAGAAAATATAAAGAGGTGGTTGCTGATGAAAAAAAAAAAAAACAAACCACCAAAACATAGAGCAATAGAGAAATTTCTGGTGCAAGTATGGAAAAAAAGGACAGAGCAGAGCCATGTAAACTATAGTAGTCCTGGTAAAGATGGAGCAATTATAGCCTACTGGAACACATTCTATGAGGTAAATTCACTGTTAAATTCTTACAAGATACCTGTTAATATTGCTTTGTCCTCAAGATATTTACAGTAGTAAGAAGTAATCAAATAAATATTTTTCATTTGAGTGCATTATCCATCATGAAAGTGTAATATTTGCAAAGTTCAGAGAAAATGTAATTTCAAACATATGCAGCCCTATATTTAAACTAAAAGAAGTTCAGTTTCTGAGATATGAGGTCCAAAGGGCAGCCACAACAGGTCCAGAAGACTAAGGAAAGGAAGACCATTTAAACAATTGATAGTAGAAAACTGGAATAGGAAGTAATGTCATGATAGTAGCTCATGGTATATGTCTGTTCCTGCAGATATTCATGTAATAGTTTATAAACAAGCAGTCAAATTAAAATCAACATGAATATACAAAGTACAACACTTGTTTTCTGATGTGAACCTAGGGGAATACTGCTGTCACTGACATATAAAATTAGTCTTAATTAATTAGCATTGCTTCCTATTTTAGATTAATAACCCTACGAGGCTTAAAATCATTATCTTTGACTGTACTTCTACATACCTATTGCATTTACCTAACACAGGTAGGTTGCCTCCTCACTGGCTTGAGTCTTGATCTTGTTTGGAGCTGAACAGCGCTCAATGCTGCAATAAAGCATTTCCAATTTCTTTGGAAGATACAGGGATAAAGAACAATGAAGTGATCACAGTGCATATTTGGAGCAGAAGTTGAAATAAAGCCCAGTATCCTGATTTCACAATTGCAAACTAATGCTGCCCATGCCCTCTTGCATAAGTCTTAGAATCAGGCATATTCTTTATTCTTTCAAATATTCAGCATGAAATCCTGTTCTCTTGCACTGGTGACCTTTTAAAGGTTTTCTCCTGTCTCTGAGAGATTTTTCCTAGATGTCAGGGAAGGAAATTGAAGCAGCAAAAAAATTTTTTTCACACATCATTGCTGCTCAATCATTTTAGCTCCTGCCCTCACCCTAGTCAATTAAGAAATCCTTGGAGCCTCAAGATAGCATCTGACTTGCAGAGTGCTGGGTGCTTTCTGCTTCATTTGTTGTTCATAGTGCCTTAGCAGGAAAGCATGCTTCACAAATTACACAATTCACACACACACATGCTCATATACACGTGTGCATGCACACGTGCACGTACATATACACACTTACAATATAGCTGAATACAGTATATATCTCTTGGACACTGTGGTTTGGTAAAAGACCCAAAGTTTGTCAAATATTGTATGTCATTTATTAGAAATAAAGACACAGGCACAATAAAATCTGGTTTTATACACCTATATGTAAAAATATATTTTAATGCATAAAGATAAATCAGAAGGTGTAAATATGTATTTTCATATGTATATGCATGTCTAAATGTATGTGCATGCACTCTATGTAAACAGCAGATTGCATGCGGGTCCAGCATATACTTTGTGCTTGGAAATAATGTGACTAAGCACAGAAATAGTGCAAATGTAAATTTCATTTGGGGAGAGAGGATGGATTTTTTTAATTTCTTTTTATAGCAAAGAATGGAGTCTCTTAAATGAATGCAGTTTTGCTGTGAATAAGGGAATTGTGCAGCTGAATGTAATTGCAAGCCACGTGGCAAATGTGCATTCCACAGTAGAAAGTGGTAACATGGACAGGGCTACAGCCTTTTTATCCTACCTAGCAATTATCTGTTTGTGGGCTTCATGGAACTAATTTCTCTTTCCACCTCTCACCCCTAGTCTCATACAATGGATAAGACTTCAAAGCAAATGCTTTTTGTCCTTTGACCATGCAATTTTCTTCAACAGCCTCATACAGGGTAAAGGATAAATAAGGAATTCATCAGAGATAATATCAGCGGACTGAAAGCAGAAACCTCATTTTCATGTAAGATTTTCTTCCTCAAACAGTGTGGCAGCAACTTGGCATACAGTTACAGCAGGAGGCAAGGAGGGGACACATGTCTGTTTGCAGCATGCTGGCCTGTTGTTGGATAGGTGAGCTGCCAGAGATTGATCACGCAGAGCAGAAGTGCAAATGAGTGCTGAATTACATCCCTATAGCACTAATGAGAACCCAAAGACTAGGTCGCCTGGAAAACTGCAATTATTGCTGCTGGATCAGGCCCCAAAAATGCTGCTAACACAATACACTTTGAATTACATGTTTATGTGCCAGGAAATGGCCCCTCAGGAGAATACATTGAACTGACCTTCAGACCATAAACCAATGTCCTCTCCTCCCTTACTAGTTATGGAATTGATCCCCAGAAGCCTTTTTAATCTTACTGTTTGTCTGTCATTTTACTCTTTCTCCTCCTGAGGGGTATGGGATAGCAAAGAGGAGTCTGAGAATGGTGGAGGTGAAGCTGCTGTTGAATAACTCGATTTTATGAAATTAACTTTGAAAAAAATAAAAAGCCAGTGAAAAGGGAGAACTCACCTTTCTGGCTTTCTCCTTTACTGAAGCAAAACCATAGGAATCTCAGCCTTGGAAGAACACATACTAAACTGGTATGAATCAGCCTAGCGCTGCTGAGTGTAGTGCTACTTCACTAGTGGATTTCCTAAGCCCTGGAGTAGGCAAAACCCTTTTTTGTCCTTTCCTTCATTTTCCTCATGCCTGTCATGAGACTATATTTTTATACTTCTTTTTGCCTTATACCTCATGGTCCTGTCAAATGAGTGTAAATAGTATATAACTTTGGTCACTGATATAAATTTTGCTTATTGTCCTTAATGTTTAAGTGCTTATTTGTGTTCTTTTCAGGCACATACCATATTTCTGTTCATAGAGGTGGGGCAAGAAAAGGTAAGTTGTTTATTCCTTTTATTCATGAATAGTTTGAAATCTACTTGACTCTTAAAGGAAGCATATCTTCACAACACTATAGCACTTTTCGTCCTCTAACCTCTTTTTGGAATTATGAATTAATTGTGTCTCTCATACTGATTGTGAGCAGTAAAACCAAGTAGAGAAAAAAGATTTCTGGATTCACAGAACATATTTATGGTAGAACCCCAAAAAAAAGCCAGACATATTAAAGTTCTTTTTCTTTGCCCCAGTCACTAAATCCAAGCCCTTAACAATGTTCACTATGAACAAGAGTTGGTTAAATCTGAAAACTGTGAGCAGCAGTCATCTACATGAAATCACCATAAGAAAAACACAATATGCATTGAAGACTGTATTATTTAAGAAAAATAATACAATAGTCAAGTTTTAATATCTGAATGTCAGGATCATTGGTTCCAAGTAGTATGTTCACTTTGAAGCATTTTCTTAGCTTTGATCCAGACAATTTACAAAAGAGCTTAGATCTGAATAAAAAAGCTGTATTTCAGTCACCTGCCTGCCTGATGACTTTGGTGGTTGTTCCTTCACAAGCTAACCTGGAGTGTGACACCAAAATGTGCCAGTGACCTGATTATTTTTTTAAATGTGTACTTTTCCACCCATGTATGACTGTAATCATAAAACAAGTGCATTGTACACTGAAAGTAATGAAGCTTGTGGGTCTGTGCTGGAGATGACTGGCCACAGGTAAAGGTTCCTTAGTCTTTACTGTGAATCTCTTGCTCCTTCAGAAGAACTGTTCCTGTTTAGACCAGCTCTATGAGAAGACTTGTCTTCAGAGCTGGTCCCTGAATCTATCAGCTTTTCTGATGTTATGCTTGGATCTCAAAGAGTCCAGACATTTAGTCAAGGCTAATATGTCACAGGGATGAAAAAATTTTGACTGTGACTGCTTGTAGAAGTTTGGGGGGGAGGGGAGTAGAGGAGGAGGATGAAGTTAAGCTGCATCTGTATGTGTTCCAGGCAAGACAACAGGATGGGTAAAAGTGATTCACAATCTATCTACAGCACACTATTCTGTGTGACCTGATATGCCCACAGTGGCATGGAGCTAATACCCCAGGATCAGACTGGCTTTTCAAAGTGCAGACGTATATGCATGGTGCTTGTGTTGGAACAAGAGCACTTGGGAAATGGGAGAAATAAAAGATGAAGGACTGTGCTAATTCACTTTAGATAATAAAATATAGTTGTGGGGTCACAGCCTATTTCCCATTCTCCTCCCTCTCCTGCCCAACTAGAGTACAGCAGGACCCTGTCCTGGGCAGTGCTAGTATGGAGTAGTGTCCTAGCTAATTAGGCTTCAATATTATCTGCAGTAAGTAGCTCAGACACTAAATTGATGAGCCTAAGCTGTTTTTCCAGTTCTAGACCTAACTTTTCAAACTAGTTTGGGGAATTCTGCCTCATGATACATTGCATAGCATAAGTAGTATTTGTCATACCAAGATATATGGCCAGATACCATCTCCTCGCTCTTTTATTTTGGACACCAGCATACAGCCCTTTGGGGTTTTTTTGAAAACCTGTAGCTGGAAATGCTGCAGGAAATCAATGGAACTGCCTGTTTGTCTGTCTCTATGGACAGAGCCTTACACAGTGTGTGCTACTGAAATATGAATAATAAATAAGGTTCTCTCCTTGTGGACTCAGTTGCATGATCTACTAATGTAAAAGTGGTTTTAAGGATGACTTCATTGTGTGTGTTGTTTAAAAATTAAGAATGTTAGGTGATGTATTTAAACACTGCCTTGAAAATCAAAGTTGTAATTCAAATTTAATCTTAGCTAATATTTGATAAGTTTTTATTTTGGACCTTGGTTTAGCTTTGTCATCAAGTTAACATATATCTTTAAAATGGTCAAACAAAGGAAGAATTGCATCAGAGAGGAGATGCAGACAGACTAGAATAATTAAACATAAGTGGTTGTCAACACAAATATATGTGTATGTATGCACATGTATATATACATGTGTGTATAAGCTGTCGGTAGTACCTGTATAACTATACTACTATTTTTAAACTTGGCCTGTGTGACTTCCGTTAAGGGCAGTTTGTCCAGTAGAATGGATGATGTAGCAATAAAACTAGCCTTATAGCTCTCCCATCACTTCTCTGATGCCTTCTTACTTAAAGTAGGGAAGTGAAGTAAGTGTCTCTTACTTACTGAAGGAAGTGAAATCTTTACAGACTTTCTGTATAAGTAAAGAGAAGTTGACTTGCTCAATTCTATCTTTTTTTTTGTAGAAGACATTACTTGAGCTTCTTTATAAAGTGTGGTAGGGTGAATGGGAAGATTCATTTGGGCCAAGAAAAACTGCTTTAAACAAGAAAAGGAAGATTCATATGGACTAAGAAATACTGCTTCAAAGAAGATAAAAATTAAGTTATCCTACCACATAAATAGATAAATACGGAAGCAGAAGCACATTCAAAAAATGAACATGACTGTCAAAGGACTTTCTCCAAAAAGTTGCCACTGAAAGATTCTTGCAGCTCCGACTGGATTTTAGTATTATTCTCTCGTTTTGAGTACCAGTTGCTAAGGTCTACCAATGGCAAAAGTAGACTGCTCTTGACTTCAGAAGAAATGAAATCCAGCTCCTAAATGGTTGCCTGATTTCCAGTAAATGGAAATGGAATGGCAGTGGAAACTGCATTCAACTCATAGTACATAATCTGTACAGAATAGGCTAGCTTGCAAATGTATTTTTAGGGTCCTTTTGAATTCTTGTTTTCTGTTAGTGTTCTTTAAAATGCCAGGTAATGTTGTGGAAACTAATATCACTGTTTCACTGAAGCTCTAAGCAATGTTTTATTTCTTGTCTTTTAGTTTTAATGATAGCGTGCTGCTTGCTGCTAATAGAGCTGAGTAAACAACCTATGTACATTTTATTCAATTACTTTAGCTCTTTTTCTTCTTATGGTAATTACCTATGAGCGGACAATGATTGCTACCGTTTGTTTGTTCCTCCCAACTGCTTGCTGATTATTCTGCACAAGCGACTTGTAGCCTGTGTTATTGCAAACTGACTGCTTGCAAGTATTCCTTTGGGGATCAGCCTTTGGTTGCCTAAAGCCAAGTACTTTTTTTCTTTTTCATGATTGGATGATCTACTTTGTCACAAAATACATTTTGTTTAATAAATTCATAGCTTCACCCTGCAACATACTGCTTAGACCAGCAGTCTGGAGCTGCACCATAATGATGGGAACCTATGTATTAAATACAATATCTCTCATGAAAAAAGTAAATCTTGATAAATACAGTTATTCCAAAGCTGATATACCATTCTCTGTGCAGGTATTTATTTAATTTTGCTGATGGTGTTATCAATTGGAAGTGTTTCTTTCACTCAGGTTCCTGTTAAAACAATTTAAATTGTCATTGGGAACTGCAAATTAATTCATAATAAGACCCATAGCATTTGACATTATTTCTTTACTGCATTGTAATGTTTCTTTTTTGACTCTGGAACTCACGTTACCTGGAAAGTGCAGTGGACAAACAATTACGGTTTGCATCAAAGCAAATACATTTCAGGACTACTATCACAGCAAATCTCTTACCAGCCTTATACTTTACTAAAAGAACATATTTTTTTGCATATAAATAATAATTGTGCAGGACCTTTTGTGAAACAACATTCTAAACTATTGAAAGCAAAATTATTCCAAAATTATTAACTCATTTTAAAACAACTTTCAGATTGAGTCATGTTCCAAAGAAATCTGAAAGAAACTGAAGACAATCTGGAAGATTTGGATCCTCAGGAGAGCCTCTTACGCACTGTCACTTGATCTATGTGTCAGATGTCACAGACAAGGACACTTTTCTATAGTCAGCACCATTTGAAACAGATTGCTGTTGATCCTTTATGATAATACAGCATATAACATCATATAGATGTTTGTTCTACTCTAACATAAAAACACAACAGTGATTAAGCCATAGACTTGAATCTTTTTCTCAGAGCTCATTTTTGCTGGTCAATTCTGGTTATTGACTGAAGAAACTTATTTTGGTTCACCTCAGTTTCTTGTGTTTCATTTTTCATTAGCCTGGTACCTAGTATTGAGGCTCCTATTTTGCTTCACAATAGATTAACAGATTTGTCCCTGCACTGGATACTCTGTGGTGGATGTAACAGAAGGAAATCTAAAAAGCTGTAGTAGATTACAAAGAACACAAACAAACTGTCATGAAAGACCACAGTAACTCAAAATTATTTCACGAGAGTCTGTAGACTAAATAAAACCATTTGAAATTATCTTTCCTGCCATATAATTTAAACAAATGTCAGTAAGTAAAAATCTTATAACTTTTCTCATTTAGGACTTGTGATGTTTTCTACTTCAGACCCAAGAAGTCTCAAGTCCAGCTCTGGTTGTTGTTTCCAGTCCTCCACGTCTCCTGTAGTGTAAGAGTGAGTGGGGCATTTACCTACAGACTTTAATTTCTCCAGCTGTAAGAGTGATGTTTGCCTTTATTATTTTTTAGGTGTTTGTAGACTCATGAATTTAAGGACTTATTCATAACCCAGTGACTTTTGTCTACTATTTGATATCCTCCTGCACATTTTGCCTGTAACATACCTCTGGAGATCGAACAGATTGTCCTAATTCATCTAACTAATTTAAAGCCATTAGGCCAGATCTTGATATTAATTTTTTTCTGTGATATCTTGAGGTAGAAGGCATGGATTTGAAGTTTTATTACACATGAATTTAGATATTCAGTTATCCATAACAGTAAGAAATGATTCACAGGATCTGGAATCATCTAAATATAACCAGAAAAATAACATTAATATGAAGATCACTTTAAGGAATTCTTTGTGTTTTTAAAAGCTGAACCAAGTTTTCTTTCCCCAAAAAGATGGCATTTATGTCATGCATCAAACACCAGAAACAATCCAATCAGTATATCCTTTAGCTGATGGATACTAAAAAGAATGAGAGGTTAATGTTGAGACTTGTAGTGCTGTCATTGAAAGAAACACATATAAACAGCCACAGAACTTATGAAGCAACATTTAAGTTTTGTTCCCACTAGATTTTAGATGGAAATTTGCCATGGCTTGGATTTAATTGTCTCTATTACTAGAGATTTCAGTAGCCAGATGGTCAGGGAAAATCTAAAGTTGCATGCACACTTTTTAAAGGTTAGTGATATGTGGAAAAAGATACTGTTACTTACACGTTATCTTTGAAGTGAAGATAATGCTCAATGACACAAGACCAAAACATGTCTTAATATGCATTATGCTTTACTGTTATGCTCATTATTGCTGTGCTAATTCTTCCCAGAAAGGTTTTGATTTTCTTTCCAGATGCTGCAAATTGAACCGGATTGTTGCCGTCAAGAACTGATTTTTCAAGTTTCTTATTTTGTTTTTAACTCTCTCAAGCTCCAGCTTGCCAGAAATATTGGGAGTCTCCTGAAACATGATTCAGCTGACAAATAAATGAACCTGGGTTGCAGGTTGTAAATTAGAAATGTAAGAAGCCATAATCTTTCTAGAAATAAAAAAATACGAGAGCCCAATAAACAAATTATCCATATCTAAATGACAGTAAAGATTAAGTTAAACTGTCTAAGAAATACTATACTAGAGAGTTGTGTTTGTCTATCATCTCCCACTTTTGGTCTTTTAAGACAATTAAAATCAGAATGACTGTCCCTGTTGATTACGCTCAGGTATTCTCTATCCTGAGACAAGGACAGAGAAAATCCTCAAGAGCTGACTGCCTATAATGCCCCTAATCTTAGGAACTTAGCTGAACTCCTTTTAATGAATCTCAGAGCTCTTTGCTGTTTAATTACCTTTGTAACTTTTAACTGAACTTTATTTGTAAAAACTGTTTCACCGAGAAAGTTTGGATTATTTTTTCTTAAAATGTATGGATGGTATGTATGTGAGAAAATGATCTATTTTCTGCAGGAAAAAGAAGACTTGATTGTGTAAGAAACAGCTTTGGTGATTTGTTTTTTTTTCAATCAGAACTGTAAAAACATTTTGTTATGAAATGCTGAAATTCCTCATGTGAGTTCTACTTCAAGTTTATTGCTGATCTCAAGAGGTAGAGTACTCAGGTAGATGAGATCATTCATGATGCCCTTGTGATAATTGCAAAATATGCCCTTCCTCTCCAAGGAAGAGGAGAAATAGAATTATAGAATGGGAAGTGATGTGCAACTAAGACACTTTCTACAAAGAAAGCACTCAGCTGATTTTCTTTATATTTTGCCAAGACATGCAAAGCACAACTCCTGTAAAGTTCTATAGCTCTTCATAATTTAAGATACAACGGTTTTGATACAGAGTGATATACAGAAAGGTCAAGGTTAAGGGAGGGCTGCCTTTGAAAAGCTATGACTTTCTTTTCCAAGAAATACTTACAAAAAGATATATCAACTAGGCATAATCAATGGGTATAGTGCAGATGCAAGAAAAACATGATTCTATTCTTTCTCACCTGAGGGAGTCGCGTTATTTCATTTTAACTCAAGACTGACAGCTGAGTATAACCTGAAACCAGGGACCATCATCCAAAGACTATTCAAGCCAACAAAAAGATCTGTACAGATCCCAGTTGTGCTCCCATTGAAGGCAGTAGTAAAGCTCCCAGAGGTACAGACTTATTGTCAAATCATTTAGCTACAAAAAAAATGTGGTGCAAGGAAAAAAAATATATTAAAAAAAAGTGACAGGTGTCTTTAAAACTGGATGGGGTAGCATTGTTTAGGGGCAATTGGGGCAGCATTTAGCACACTAAACAGCAGGAGATCATAGCCACTAATTTCTCAGTTCCAAGTCATTGTAAGTATGGTGAGGTAACAAACACAGTCAACAATAAATTGTTCTCCTATGAAGAAAACAAGTGAGGGTCTTTTTAAAGGAATTTTATTGTTCCAAATATTGATCCTTAATACAGCAAACAACTAACTTCTTTCTTGCCAGCCCCCAAGCAAACTGTAGTTAAAATCATAAAACACAAAAAACTGTCTTATACTGTAATGTCTTGATGTATATCAATAATAGCATAGCCTGGACTCTATGTAAGTGTGGCTAAAATCTCACAGGGCAAATCTGCAGTACACTGTAGATGTCTACTGAGTCTTCATTGTTTATACATTCAGCCAACTCCCTCATGAGATACATTTTCTTCACATTATTATTATTATACATATTCTGTTACTGCTGTTTCTCTTACGAGCATAGCTTGTGGTACAACAACACTGGGGAATCTGTCTGGGATGAAAACTAACCCTTCACTTGAACAACCAGATGGGGCCTCATTCGCTAATGCCTTATAAGGATTACTGAGTATGCTTCACTTTTTTTCTGAGAAGGCTACTGAGGAAAAATTCAGACAACTTTCCTAATCTTCCATTCAGAACGTTTTTCCCTATTCTGCATAGATTTTAATGGGGAAAGGGCCTAGTTATTACTGCCTCTCTACATGTCTTCTACCAAGATGCAAGTGCTGAAGGCTAGAATGGGATTCCATTGTATTATAAGTTATGTTAATGAATGCTAAAAAAAAAATCTTGGTTGGTTTGTTTGTTTGTTTGTTTCCACACATCAGGGGTAGAACTGATACTGTATTACTTAGCTGCCTACAGCTAGGCAAACTAGTCATACAGTCTAAGGGTTGTTCACGCCTAGTAGGAAGGAGTAATGGCAGTCCCAAGACAAAGGGCAGGAAGACGGCATGAGATGACTCTAACAGTCAGCAGTTTGAAGAGTATGAGCTCTCCCTACGTGTCCATTTTACTAGCTCTCCTGACAACAGCAACAACAGGGTGTGCCCCCACACCCTCCAGTGGACCAGCCTTGGCTGAATAAAAGCCATGAAGACCTCAAATCTTTGGCAAGGCATGCACCTCTGGCATAAGCGTGGTCCTCCAGGCCATACCCTACCCAATCAATCAAATACTGCAGGGTATCCAGGGATATCCCAGAACCCAAAATAGCCCAGACACATTATTCCCTCTGGCCTTAGACCATAAGTGGAGGCAGAAGTCAAAGTTGTGGCTGGAAGGATTCCTGTTGAACAGATATAGCAGGGAGATGTGAGCAACCGTGCAAGTCTGGAGAACACAGGGAAGCTACAAATGAAATGCAACCGGACTAACACGGGCTGTTATTTTATATGGGTCCAGGTAACAGTGGTCCAATTTAGAAGGATACACTGAATGAACATGTTCACCAAATGACCAAATGTAGTCCCCAACCACAAAGCCCTGTGCTGGTGCCGATGTCTATCTGGACAGACTTTGTAATCAGCTCCTGCTTTTTGCAGGTGCTCTTGAAGAAACAAATGTAGGTGTTGCAACTACTCAGAGGAATTCTCAGGGTAAAACCCCTGGACAGCTGACAGAGCAAATGGTTGGCCACAGGGATGAAAACCATACTGCATGTAAAGAGAGGTCTGCTGCAGTAAAAGGGTGGACACTACTGTTAAAGGCAAATTCTGCCAGTGATATCAGAGACATCCATTCATCCTGATGGCAAGCAGGAGATACTGCTACAAGATCTGGTTCACCCGCTTCGTCTGACCATTCAGCTATAGGTGATATGAGGTGGTAAGAGAGACTTACACCCCCAGCACGCCCATAAACTGCTTCTAGAACCCAGCAGTGATCTGGACCCCCCTGCCTGACACCTGGCATGTGATCTGGAAGACCATGGCAGTGAAACACATACTGCAAAGACAAGTGTGTAGTCTAAGGGGCTGTGGGCAGCTTCTTTAGTGGAACAAAAATAGCTGTCTTCAAAAACAAGTCCACCACCACAAGTACTAGACCTAGGACTTCAGTAAGTCCAAAGAAAAGGTTCAAGCAAGTTGTCAAGGCCTGTCCAAGATGAGACAAGAACAAAGATGTGAGTACTCAACAGACAATAGCTCAAAGAGGCTGAGCTCTGCCTACTTGCCAGTTTTATTAGCTCTCCTGACAACAGCAGCAACAACAATGGCTACCAAAGACATAATGTTTACAGATCATCATCTTCTTTGAAGGGAGACAAGGATAACTCTGACAGCAGATCACCTAAGATACATCTCTAAGACACAGGTTGAGCCACATTCAGAAATTAATCTCAAGTCCATGTCCATATAAATATACCAAAAGACAAAGGAAATTTTTCTAATTTTCTAAGAAAATATGGTGTTTAGGTGCATTCAGTATCCTGAATGAATTACTAAAAACTTTCTTGAACTTATTTATCAAAGTATGCAGTATTTGAAATCTGTGCTTTTACTGGATACACTTCTAAGTGAGATCTTTGGGTATTATAAGCTGCACAGCTCCACTAAAATCTATGAAATTGCAATTCTTTATATGAACTGAGAGTTTGATGACTGTAAGCTATAAAATAAATTTAAGTTCTCTAACAGAATTGGCTTCACTCTAAGATTCCAGTTTCTGCAGTGAAAATGGTTCCTATTAAGAATTCTGGTTTGGCTCACAGCATATATTTTATATCACTCACTTAAATTTGCGGCTCCAATTAATATGTCTTCTGGGAAGCCCATTTGATGGTAAATCTGTGTCCAGTTTTCACCTGCATCCATAAATCAATGCTAAAAAAAGCCACAAGACACTTTTTTCTACCACAAACAATAGACATTTTGTATCTTTGCGTACTCTAACAAGTCTCATGGTAACCCTGAAGTGTGTGATGGAATGGAAAACACACAAGTATGTTCCTAAATTTAAGGTAGCTGACTTAATCCCATTTTTAACACAGCTGACCTTTGGGGCTTAAGAGGAAGAAACTCTGCTTGCTTTCTTCTTTTTTTTTTTTTCTTTTTTACACCTTCAAAAATGAGACACTGATCTAAAGTTTATTGTAGTAAAAGACTCCTATTGATTATAGTAGAATTTGCGTCATTTTTGAAAGTCTTAATTGCTTACCTTTGAAAATAAGAAGAAGGATATATATTCAAGTAAATTGTCTATGCAAGTTTTGGTAAAAAACCAACAAGATATTTCTTCAAAATGAGTCAATGTATAGGAGTTGCCAGTTCTATATATCATACTAGCTCTTTAGCTACACAGTCCGGACAAGTATATGATCCTGGAAATAATATACATTGGATAGAGGAAGGTGGAAACACATGGAAATGTTTCACTGTCTGCCCCACTGAAAAGATACTTGGTCTCATTCCTTTCCCTGCTCCCCATCTTTGTGCCATTATAGATCGCAATCACTGAGATCATGAAGAGGAAATTATTTTTTTCCTTTTTTTGTTGATTGACAATGCATTAAGACCCTCACGAGAAGATCTAGGCAATGTAATTTCTCATCTTGCTTCAGTTCATTTGAAAGAGATGTGGGACAGCCAAGTCCTTTAGTTAGTGTAGCCGGCATCTTTTCCTGCCTGTGTCCTTGTGCTACTGCTGGAATCAGGCCTTAAATAATGACTCCTTATCTACCATGCAAAGGAGATGTGATTTTAATCCATTTAAATATGTAATTATTGGTAGGCTTGAAATGCTGTGCTACTGGAAGGAACCAAGGGGACACATTCCTTCTGTTTGAAGGCTTCATTCCCAACCAAGAGCAAACACAAAACTGTTCAGCCTTCCACTGACATCAGCAGACCTGCCAAATCTGGCTGGACTCAGATTCAGAAGCCCAGACCATAATAAGTCCTTCCTTCAGCTAACTTTTTTTTTTTTTTTTTGACATTTTTAACATTTTGGAGCTCTTTAATATGCAAGTTGTAAAAGACAGAATGCAGAAGATGATAGGTGTTTTCTCAAGTTGCCAAAGCCCTAGAAGGACAGATATATTCCTAACTATTGTAAAAACTTAGGAAATATTTTATCACACTTTACAAAATATTTAAAACATCCTGTACCTATTCATGAAAAAACAGTCCCCAGTTCACACCTTTTTTTGGAGAAGTTTTCTCCAAAAAAACCTACCTCATCTTTCTTTTACTCCAGTGTTTCTTGCATAAAGCAGTGAAAAGTATTGCATGTGATCAGATCTGTTTAGATCTGTGGCAAAGGAGTTGAACATTTTCTCTGATATATTTCTTTCCTTCAAGAGGATTTTAAAATTTGAGTTATTCAAGGGAGTCTGGGAGCCTTTGGCACTCATTTCCTTTTAAATTTATAATAGATAACTAAAGCCTGTAAGGAATTCTGAAAATTCTCACTCTAATTTTTAATTCAGATTTGTTTTCAGTAAGTATGGACTTGTTTTATTCTTTACTGAGTTCAATTCCAAATGTCCCTACAGAGCTTAAAGAAATAATGAAAGTATAGAAAATAATATGAAAAAATTAAATTCAGATTCAAATTAAATTCACCATTAAATTTTGACATATAGGA